AAAGACATCCTTATCATCTGCTTCAAAGGTGTTAACCGCGTCTGTGCTCTGCAGAATGACATGGACCCAAATCACATAGCTGTGCCATAGCCAGTTCTTGATAAGCTTTTCATTAGTAAAGAGTCAACATTTGTTTGTAATCACTGTCAAAGACCACTCTTGCCAAGGGTTTCTTTTTCAATAGTTCTTTTTAATTTCTTTATGTGATTGTTGTTTACTGTTGCTGACTCACAGCTGACCTTCTAGTAGGTTTTCAAAGGCGATAAATAACACTGGAGGAAACTGCTTTCCCTTCTCCTGCTAGGGGACTGGAACTGCATACCTTTCCTTATCCTAATCCTTAATCTAGGCCGTGACAGCTCTTTATGAGATAAAAGGGGCCAACACCTGGGAGAGATCAAGAATACAGGGTCATGTGTGCACCAATCCTGCGCTGGGCTCCTCTGACGTCAGAGGGACACAATGGATAGGGCTTTGTGGATTTTATAGAATATCTCTAACCAAGGTAGAATTTTTCAAATGAATGATAAGATTAGCTAATAAAGGCAGCAAGAATTTTCAAGCTTTCTTTCTAATGAAAAAGCATCATGCTCCAATACAAATAAAGTACCATACCTCATTGTTACATGCAGTTGGGTCGCCTGTGACTCACACTGACACTATGTACAGCAGTTCTGAAGCCTGCCCTATCCTGAGCCGGTCACTGACTCCAACACACCTCCTCCCATTGTCACAGTGATCTTGTTACTCCATTTCCTCCAGGGTCTTCCTCTCTTGCACCATTCTTTCACCCTTCCAAGCATGATGTCTATGTGCCCCAAATATGTAAGACGGAGCTTCAAAATCCTAGCCTCCAAGGAGAAACTTGGATAGACCAATCTGTTCTGGTGGGCCATGGTATGTTCAGTACTCTTCTCCAGCACCACAACTCAAAGGCATCAATTATTTTGTCATACTTAGCATTGTCCTTCTTTCTGACGCACAGCATGCAATTGCATAAACTATGACATAGATCAGGTGCATCTTAATATCTAGTCTGATATCATTGCTCCTCAAAAATCTGGAGAAAGGTCCCTAATAGCAGACCTCCCTAATGCAATTCTTAATTTCATTACTGCTGGTGCCAAGAGTGTTGATTGTGGAGAGCATATTAAAACTGTTCACACCTCAATCTCTTCTCCATCTATCATGGTGCTGCCGATTGGCCCAACAGTGAGAAGTTTGTCTTCTTGATGTTCAGCTTCAATCCCATTAGAAAAGTTTTTCTTTGTTCCCTCTTATTTTCATTTATACAAAATACTATTCTCTAATAACTGATACTGTGATAGAGGAAAACATGATTTCTTTAATCACATTCCCATGCATGTGGCCTGAGGTTAAATGTGTTATCTACAGGAAAAATATCCACAAAATCTTAAATAATTTTCAGTTTATTTTTCCTGCTTTAATTTTATCTTCAGTAAGGATTGTAAACAAATCTAAAGTCTTCAAGTGTAAAAGAAATGGGTACTGATTATGTGTATAGTATTAAGCCCATCTTTTTCCATGTTAAAAAAAAAGTAAAATGAAGTAAAATGGCTCCTACAAATATTAAAACTTTTAAATCTTTTCTTGAATATTTTTTTTCTAAATTTTTAAAAGCTTCACTGAGATAGAAAAGATATTTTCTTGTTCTATAATTTTATGTTGTTTGAAATCATTGGGAATTGGCCTTAAACTTCTAAAAACCCAAGGTAAGTTTTATTTTTTCATTCCTTCTGCTCTGATCAAATATTCCACTAAAAAAAATGGCTATTTTAATTTTAAAGAAGCCATTAAGATAGAAAAGTGAAACTCTGAAACCTTTATTCTCTACTTTCAAACTTTGAATTTGATGATCTTTGAAAACTGTCTCATCTGATACTAACAGAAAAACCCAGCAAAAACTCAGCTCGGATCCAAAGAAGCTGGAGGCAGGATTCAGAACCATCACCCTAACAATGGTGCTCCAGGCAAAGAAGGATCAGGAAGCAACATGTGGCAGGTGCTTCAGACTCGGTGTCTCACTTCTGTGTGAGCAACAAAATGACTGCAGACCCTCAATGACCTTTACCATGCAAGAGCTGAGGCGGTCAGATAACTACGTTAGATGAAAAAAGAAAAAATTCTCTAAAAATCAGATTCTGCCAAAATAAAACCTGATCATTTGCTGGGCTATATAAATGACATAGCTTCACTGAATCACAGGTGCGTAAAAACTTTTCAGAACTCAGCAGTGAGCCCCATGACAGTTAACACAAGGTGATGGTCCTATAAACATCCAGACACAAATACACTGTATACCCATTTTTAAAATGACAGGACCAGTCAACATTCATAAACCCATCGTCTTATTCTGACTTAAGAGGCACGGAATCAATCAACTTTAGAGAAATTTCTTAAGCTTGGATTCTTATTTCTGAAATTAATTCTAAGACATAAATTAAGTAAAAATAAATACATGGACCTTTTAAAAATAATATTCTACGATAATGGTTTTATACAATATTTATCCTTGTGGAACTGAGTTAGTTCACTCAACATAATGCTCTCCAGTCCCTCCCAAGTTAGGTAGTAATTTACAAAATCATCAGTCCTGCATGTTGCATAGTATTCATTGTGTGACTGTACCATAGTTTCTCAATCCATTCGTTTGTGGTTGGACTTTTGGACTATTTCCATGTTCTTGTGATAGTGAATAATGCTGCTTTGAACAATGCTGTACAAATACTAGTTTGTGCCTCAGTTCTCCTTGTCTCAGGGTATATTCCAACTAGTGGAATAGCTGCATCATACGGAATTTCTATGTTCAGCTTTTTTAGGAAGCAGTAAACTGCCTTCCAGACTGGTTGTACCATTTTACAAGGATAAATATCGTATAAAACCATTATTGTAGAATGAGTATAAGCATCCAAGAGGGGTGGGAGAAACTCGAAGCAGAGGGATGTGCATGGGGAGGAGGAGATTGATCATGGGGTTGTACAATTTGTTGCGGGGGGTTGAGGGAAACTTAAAGAATTTGTTCTTGAAAACAATGTATTCAAATTTTGTAAATTAGTAGAAAATTGAAAAGGGGAAGAAAATTATTTATAAAAAATTTTAAAAGGTATTAGTAATTAATAAATCATTGATTATCCAAAAAAATTAAGAAATTAGGTTCTGTTATGGATCAAATGGTATCTCCCAAATATATCTATACTGTCTAGGCCATGAATTCCAGTGTTGTATGATTATTCTTCATTTTGTGATGTGCTGCCTGAGGCTAATAAACAGGACTAGGTTCCTCTATAGAGAATTAGGTTCTGTCTGTTACAAGACAGGATTATAGTGGCATGCATCACCCTCACCTTATCACCCTTGGTCAGGTCTTGTGATGTAGCCTGCAAGGAGCTTTACTATGAACCCAAATGCCCCGTCTCTGTTGGGTTGTATCCACTAACAGATGTGAGGGCAAACGATATACAATCTTTCCCCGTGCAATTTAGAGTCTCATAAACCCAGGAGAGGGGCAGCTGTCAGTGAGCTGAGTGAGGTCACAGCCTTGAGCCCATATAAGGGGAGCTTCACAGGCGCAGGGCCTGCACCACCTTTTACCTTATAAGAAAGAAGCTAGCAGAGAAAGGAAGACCTTAGTAGCACCCCCAAGAAGTAGGGCTCAAGTGGAAGAGCCCCACAGGGCCCGTGGTTCCTCTGTAGAGGACACGGGGAGACTGATGTCAGGACAAATGACATCTTCATGGGCTGCTGAAAGGAGATGATGATTCCCAGAGCTGAGAAAGCCTTTCCCTCAGATCAGTGCAGACCTCCACCCTCCTAGAGAGAGAATAAACACACTCGCCAAAGCCACCCATCTATGAGATTTACATTACAGCAGCACTAGCTAAATAAAACAGGGCCTGGGGTACTTATTAGTTGATTGAGTACTTAGGGATTTGCAGAGACACAATTATTTAGAAAAAAAAATCAAGGAAAAGACACTAAAATTGTTGATTTTTCAGGTACTGACTTTCATTAATTCTTTCCCCCAAAGCACATCAAAGAATGTGATTTTCCCATTATTAAAGTGGGTCAGGGGTCGGGAATCCCTTGAGGTGGGAAGAAAACAATACAGTATTCACATTTTCTGCAAAAGACTACCTTGCACTAGCAAGACTTAGGGGGTGCGCTTGGCTGAAAAAAATGATAGTGTTAAAGGGACTATTGCTGCAGGGGTGTTGGAGAAGGGGAAAGAAAATGACTTCTATTTTGACAAAACAAAACAAACTAAAAACCAAACACCTCTCCTATGGAACTCTCACTTGTTTTTGAATCTCTGAAGGTTACAATACTTCATGGTGGCCATGCTCTCACTGATGAGCTAACTGAGAACAGACACAGGTCGATGTGAAGCCGGCTGTGAGCGCAGGACTGGAACTAAGGCCAGGTGGCAGGATGGCTTGGTGAAGGCTGCTGGGAAGGTTCGTGGCCAAGTTCAAACGGCCGGCCAAACTTCAAGATAAGAAAGAAACATAATAAAAAGGATTCTGAGGGTTACGATGACTTTCCTAACAGGTTTTCCAGGCCCATCTCATTTCCAATCTCTCTAAAAAAAAAAGCATTCGACAATATTCTGTCTGGTGTTTCTTAAAATTTGACAAAAATAAATAGAATAAGCTTCAGACACAAGACCTGTGCTACCCTTCTTAGGAGTAAAGGCTGCCTGCCTTCCATTTATTTCATCAAGTCTACGCAGCCTGATTCTAGAAGGGGCTTAGTCCCCAGACAGATTCTAATGCTACATGGGTCTGTTTCCTGATTGTCACGTGTGAAGGTTTCTCTTTAATATGCATGAGGCTTGGCATCTGAAGGTCACAGGACTCAAGATCTTCTTTTAGGAGAGAAGTGTGTTCATTCAGGCAAAGTGAAGGTTTGGTGTAAGTGCCAGATCAGAGGGAAAGGGGCTAATTCCTTTGGTCTCTGTTATGGAAACACTTGGACGGAGCCTAGGGCCCCTCATCGGCGTGCTGACTTTTGCGCTGCCTCAGCGAGTCCCCCGCCACCTCTGTGTAAGCGGAAGAGTGCTGCTCAGGGGCCCCCCCTTCGGGCTTCTCGGGACCCCTTTCCTCCGCAGCTATGGGGTCCTCTCTCGGGGGTTCCTGCTCGTTGGTGCCGCTCCTCTCCTCATCTCCACCGGCAGCCAGGTTGTCGTCTTCCTCGTCTTCTTCCAAGTCCTCGTCATCACCCAGGTCCTCCTTGTCCTCTTCCTCGTCTACAAGGCTGTCCTTGTTTTCTTCTTCATTCGAGTCATCCTTCTCCTCCTCTGCATCTTGCAGCCGCTCAGCCTTATGAGCATCCTCTGCCTTCTCATTCTGTTCTGTGGAGGCAAGAGTAGCAAAAAGAACGTTCTCTGAAAAAACAATGTCTCAATCAAGTGTTTTTAATTGTTAAGCTAAAAAAATTTAAAAGAGAGAGAGAGAGAAAGAGAAAAGAGAGAATAACATCGCAATATTCTTCCCCTTGAAGATCTGATCGTCAAACTCTCTGGTTGGCATCCTAGCCTTTCAGGGGCTTCTCTGTCCCTCTCTGGAGAATTCATTGACGGTGCTGATTTTATCAGAACATGTGGGAAAGGAGAGAGCAAAGGTCTCTTCCATTTCTGCATTTTGTGGTTCGAAGAAGAATCAGTGACCCCGAGGTCATAGTGAGTGAACCTGCAACATGACCTGAGCTGAGTTCACTGGAGTATTCCTTGAGATATTCTGGTCAGAGTCAGGAAGATAAATCTGTGGCTCTTCATAGCAATTGTTAGGCCAATAAAATGAGAGCTGTAGCTGTTGACACTCACTGAATGTCAGTCACACAGATCCAGGAATCTAACAGGACTTGGACTAGCCTGAAGCTAAACCACCACTGGACTTTTCAGCTACATGAGATAATAAACGTTCCTCAACATACTTTGGGCATGCTGCAAGGAGGACCAGTCCTTGGAGAGGGACGTGATGTTTGGGAGGGTGGAGGGACAGCGCAGGAGAGGAAGACCCTCAATGAGATGGACTGATTCAGTGATTAGGGTAGTGGAAGTAGGTGTGTCAGAGACAGTGAGGTTGGCACACGATGGGGCAGGGTTTAGTGTTCTTGTCCATAGGGTAGCTATGAGTTGCAGGCGACTCAACAACACCTAATAACAACTCATCCTGAGATGTTTAAATTATGTTTATGCCATTTTCAAGAATTCTAAGGAATATAACACACTTTTTTCCAACTCCTAAACCACATGGCTCTGGAAAGTCTATGAACTTGGAGAAACACGATAGCTATGGAAAGGCATTAGGTCTTTTGTTCATAGAGTTGCTATGAGTCGTGCTCGACTTGACAGCAGTCAACAAATAATCTATGGACAGTTCAAAGCTTTGAAATGCATTAGCTTATTGAGTTAAATGCCCAAAATAAGTTCAATAATTCTAAAGTCTCCATAAAATTGTCACATAAATTTTCAAAATCAGGAATAAAGACCTGAGAGCTCAAGGCTACCTTCTGCTACACATAGATTAGGGCAGAGCACAGACTTTGAACTTTTCCAGGAGTGCATTTAAAAACTCAAGTACTTGAAGTATTTCAGTCACAAAAGGAAAAATACTGCATGGTGCCACTATTGTAAAACAGGACTGACCTTGGGGTTGGGGAGAGACTGAGAAAGAAGGGTTCAATAATGTATACTGCATTGAAACAGATGAGGGAGAAAACTATACAAAAGGGATATGCGATTAGGTATTTTTGTCATGACAGGTGTCTAGAGCAAAGGCTACATGGTAGAGTGGACCTGGAGGAGGGATTGTAAAACAATGAAAGAATTTGTCTTTTACTTTTCCAAGAGGGTAGTGTACTAGGGGGTAGGGTTGGGAGGGGAAAAAAGTGCAACAATGAATGAATGGAAATCCAAAGTCTCTGAAATTTTTACTGAAATTAATTTTTAAAAAATTTAAAAAAAAATTTTAAAAATGAACTTAAAAACAAAACAAAAAAACCAACTCAAGTCCTCCCCAATGGCCTTTGTGACCTGGGACAACTGACTTAGCCTTTACAAGCTTCTACTTATCTGTAAAGTAGATGGGAAATTGCTTCGAAAGGATTTAGGACAGTAATTGTGACAGAGTAGAAGCTCAACGAATGTGTGTTTCCTTCCCTTTCATTCCTAGCTTGAAGAAAGAAAAGCCAGACACTCATTAATTAATAACATGCATTTAAAGGGGGAAGGAAGCCAAACTGAAGCATTCTGTAACTTACTAGACAATAAACAAGAACTTTTGTTCAAATTTACCTGGAGAAGACATTTCACAGAAATTTTATTAACTAGCAAACCAAGTGCAAAATTCACCATCCACATGTGGGAAAGCGCAAACCTCAGAATTTCAAGAATATTTTTACCATGAATTTATCATGCTTACCAGAATGGTCAGATGAATTCCTAGGCACATAGAAACATTCCGATATTATCACCAAGACCTGAGGGGAAAATACAGGGATTTTACAGTTAGTAGGTAGGACATTTATTATCAAAGGGCCTCAGAATTAGGCCTCCTTTCTATACACAGATATTCTTAGACTAATAACTAGCAGCTGGTCAAAAGCCTTCAAAAAGGACAAGGGTATAATTAAACATTTCCTTTTTTTTTTTTTAAGAGTAGCATAATATAACATAATAGAGAAAACTCAGAGCAAAGGCCAATTGTCTAAAAAAAGAAAATAAAACTAGGCAAATACAGCCTGTTAAGAATAGATGATCAAATAAAGGTAAAGAAAAAATAAACACTATTAGTCAAATCCCAAGGAATCCTTTTCAAAAGACTTCTGGAAAAACAAAACTAATTTGTATATGGGCTTACCATCACCAATGGGTAATTATTAATTGAGCTGAAATTCTCAAGAGTACCATAAGATATTTTCTATAGAAACAGTCTGTGAGAAATTTTATCAAGGGTGTGAACCAAATTCTATTTTCAACATGATTAGCTCCACTTCTGATTTTGACTGTAGCATAAGTCATGCACTTTGTCCCCTGGTAAACAATAAGCTCCTTAATTCAGTCATCTTAGTCCACGTTACATGCCTAGGGACCAATATGGCCTGTGTGATGGCACTAATGGCGATGCCAGATACGGATGAGTCAGATCACAGCTTCGACCAAAACAACCCTTCCCATGTTGTAGCCATTCTCCCTAACCTCACCTCCTAACCTAACTCCCAGACTACACTTGATATAACTGTCCAGCCTTGAAACAGTAGTAGTTATTCCTATTTTATATTATTTTTCTAATGGTACATGGAGCCCTGGTAGCTAGTGGGGCAAGATGTGCTACAATCCTGAAGGACTGCAGTTCGAGGTCACCAGCTGCTCTGTGGGGGCAAATAACTGCCTCTGAAAACCCACCAGAGGGTCAGCTATGGGTTGGCTCCAACTCTACAGGACACAAAACCAACAACAATTGTGCATAGATATGGTAAAGAACCCGTGAATAGTCAGAATCACAATCCTACTGACTACTTTATCAACATGAAATCAGTATCCTATTTTGTGCTTAGAATTATTACTGTCCATATGTGCATGTATTATTTTACATTCAGTTTAATATTCAGTTTATTAGGTTCACGCTACCATATTAATATCTTAGGAGGAGGGATAGAGTGAAAAAAAAAAAAAGATTATAGTCCTGGCTTTTGAGCAATACAGAGAAAAAAAAAATGGCAGTTTCATTACAAACTAACATGAACCATGAATATCATCAGAAAAAAGAATAAAGTCTTTGAGACCTGAGAGGAAGAGATAATAAGCGATAGCTATGATGTGGGTGGGTTAAAAGAATTGCTTGAATGAGCAGGCGTTTAAGACCCACGCATACTCAGCAGACAGGAGCAACCCCTGCCATCTTGCTGTCCTGGTCAAAGTCAAGGTCTCTCAGGATGGAGGAAAGGCCACAACTACCAGGCTGACACTCGGATGGTAGGTCAAGAGTTGCAGGAAAGCTCCACAGGTCAGCATGCAACATGCTCCGAAGCCATTGCACTGATCTGACCAATAAAAGAAAATATTTCAGACTGAGAACACTGAAGAGTCTGAGGTTGAACACTTAAATTTTCTCACTTCAAAATGTATTTTCCCACCTGGAATTTCACTCTGAAGGACACTAAGCAGGGCCTGTAAGGGAATGGTGCCCTGCTCACTCTCTACAACTCTGCGACTTTCCAGAGTTGTGGTTTCAATTTCAGCTTCTACCCAGACAGCCTGCTATCCATTCGTGAAGAGCATATGTATTTCTTATCCTTCACAGAGGGTGCCACCTATGCCCCTGAATCCCTTCTGTGGGAGGCACTGCTCAGCACCATGTGGAAAACAACTTGCCTAGGCATCAAACTAGAGGTAACATCTACACGTCTCGGCTGTAATGGACACCAGAAATAGACCGTTAGTGAACTACTGGAGCAGAGGACCTGTTAGAACGAAGTCATCTGGAATTCTACCCATGTTCTGCTTGTCTGTGTAGTTGTGCTTCCCTCTGGCCTTCAGAAGAGGGTTATTGACAGACCCACCCAATATATGTGTATCAGACCTTTCAGTTCTCTCTCATATCGATATAACATGCAAAGTATTCACTTGATTCCTAAAGCTGAGCCCTTTGTTTACAAGTGAATAACAACAATTAGTAAGATATTTCAATCACCACAAGGCTTAATCGAATAAAAATTAAACTATCAATCTTGTTTAACTTCCCACTTTTTTAAATCAGGAGAAAATATGAGACACAACATTCAAGCTTACAGGAAGCAGTGAAGATTAAGAAAACACGTATTTTGTGGAATATCCCTGTTAGGAAGGAGGAAGGGGATCTCGGAGGTCACCAGGACCAAGCATTACGTATCAGCATGTGTGCCCACTGCTTTCATGACAGAGGTGCAACAGAACACTGAATCACCTGCGTGGGAAACCTCGCCTCCAACTCCACACAACTGGGATGGGCTGCAGGTTCTCCATGCGCAGACCAAACGGAGTGTCTCAGAGTTTCATCCCTTTGAGTAGTCGGTTATCCTCAATACTGGGAAGTTTCATGCTCACAATTTAATCTCTGCTACATTCTATCTGGACTACTTGGTAATTTGCACTTAGTTGGTGAGCCCATTTGGAGTACAGCTTTAAGACGGACGTATCAAGATAGCCATCTTCTCATCCCTCTGGCAGTCTGGGAAGGTCACAGGGAACCCTTGGACCAGGCACTGCCAGCTTCAAACGGTTTGGTCCAGCATCGCTTAGTGCATGTGATGGTTAACTAAAGGACAACTCGGCTACAGCCTGGTTTAGTAGTTACTAAGTGGTCACATTCCCTTGATAAGATCTGATATAATAATTTCTTTGATGAGGCTTTCCATAATGTAATCATCTCCATGAGAAGAACTGCTATCAACAGCCAATTTACTGAAAAGGAGTTTCATTGGGATGTTGTCTACATTAAATACACATGGATATTTGTCAAGGCTCTTGTGCATTTGTTCAAACTATTTCCTGAATCAAGTTCATCACCTTTAGTCCTTTGGACTGAACTAGCAGCCTCTCTTAACTGCTGACCCTGGATCTGTGAGCCTCTGAAGCCAGCAGCCTGCTGCCTGCCTGGGACATACCAGCCTCTACAAGTACCATTCTCTATGTGGCTCAAATGTAAAAATGACTAAACACTTCTCTAGTTAACTGCAAAATGTTAACGAAAGTGCCATTTTGGAAGAGTTAACATTTGGAATAGTGGGAAAAGCACACAGGTTTAGGTTACTTCTAATTGTGATTTGCAAAAAGAAAGGTTTAGTTTCCAAATTTATTTAGGGCATAACCAAGCCTCACTCCTTAAATCAACCTTTAAGATAAAATTTTAAAAAGCTTTATAATAAGAGGAATTCCATTTGTCTTCCAATAGGTTCCTATGCAGTGTTTGTGTTCTCTGTAACTCTATCAAAGAGGAGCCCTGGGCTCATACTCTTTCTCCTATGGAAGGTTTTACACTCTGTATGACTCCTGAATTAGCATTCAGAAAGATCTTGACAACACTCAGGAGTCAGACAATACTTAGACAAAAATTAGACAATAGGTAAGAAAAGCTATTACATTCAATTTATATCCCAATTAAAATTCTTTTACCTCAGCATCATAGAAACTTTGGTAGTAAAATAATTACAACAGAATGGGACATATCTAGGCTCTAATATGACATGTAAAGTTGTATAAACCCAACTCACACCCTTAAAATTAACAGCAGCAGTCAAATTTCAAAGAGGATTCATAATCTGAATCATGTATGTAAAAAGTTATGGGATTAGGAAAAAACACAATGGCTTTTGAGAACTCTGTATATTAGCCAGAGTTTAACATTGAGAAATAAATCAGTTGTAGGTAAAGAAAAGTATAGCAAGCTATTTCACTTATATCAAAGACTGAACTACACAAAAATATGTAAACTTAGTTGACTATATCATTAAGCAAGTAATTTTATTTTTACTCTCCTAGTAAAACACACCTGGGGAGAAAATGCATGTATACATTTCTACTGCATGCTTATTCTTCCATCCAAAACTGATGTGATTATTTCCTTTGTATCTTTCCTTTTTTCACAGTAAGACTGCTCTATACATGTTTTTTTTTAAATAAATCAGAAAAAAACCTGAATGTATGTTTAGGATTTGAAGTCTAACTAAAGGATATAAACAAGAAGAAAAAAAAAGTCTTGTTTACTTAAGGAATCAACTCACAGCTTTGGCTTTATCAACACAGTGTTTTAATCAAATAGGCAATTTGAGAAATCTGAGTTGCCTTGGAAACTGACCATCTCATTCAAGCAGAGTCTCTATTGCTCCTTTCATTGCTGCTGCTATTACAGACACCATAAAGCTTTGGAATACTTAGAAGATAAAGAATACCAATTTAAACCATTCTCATTTATAGTTAAAATTAGCATTGAAAAGGATATCCAAGAAGTAAATGTTATTTTCTCTGCTTAGGTTTCATACAGCATCCACTTCCTAAACAACATGCCTCTGGAAACTCTATGAACTTTGAGAAGTGATAGTTACTGAAAAGCTCCAAGTCTTTTGTTCACAGGGTCGCTATGAGTCATGCTTAACTCGATGGCAAACAACAACAAGGTTACCTATAAAATAATGTTTAAATGTTATTTCTTTGTTGAGATTTTCCTATATTCACATGAAATCCGTACTGTTTAAAGAGAGTAAAAATATTTTAGCAACACTTACCAGACCCATTAAAAGACCAAAAATTAAGGTGGCAACGACAAAAAGGACGTAAGAGCACCAAGCAGGGATTCCAAGAGTCACCGTGAAGTAGTTGTGAAGATGCTGTAATCAGAAGGAGAAATAAAACGATTTACTTGCAATGAGACAACACTATTTGACTGTCTCTCTAGTTATAACACAAGTTTGCCTTTCTCTCTGTCTGAGCTCCACAAAGGCTATGCATAAAATGATGTATGTATTTAGTGACTCAAAAAAAGCAAGTCCTTAGATGCAAGGATGATGAAACCGCAACTCATATTTTGGACATGTTATCAAAAGGCAAGTCTGCTTTCAGAAACCTCTCTAGAGTACTGAAAAGCAAAGATGTCAGTCTGGAGACTGACGAAGCCATAAGCTGTGCAATTACTTGCTATGCGTCAGAAAGCTAGACAATGACTAGGGATGACAGAAGGAAGAAGCTGTGGTGATGGAGAAGAGTATTGAATATGCCATTGACTGCTAGGAGGACAAACAGGTCTGTCCTGGAGAGGGTGAAACCAGACTGCTCCTTGGAGACAAGGATTCTGAAGCTTCGTCTGACATACTTTGGACATGTTACAAGGAGGTATCAGTAGATCACTCTTTGGAGAGGGACGTCATGCTTGGGAGGGTGGAGGGACAGCGTAGGAGTGGAAGACCCTCGATAAGGTGGATTGATTGAGTGACTGGGATAATGGGATAGGTGTGTCAGAGGCAATAAGATTGGCACAGGATAGAGCAGAGTTTAGGGCTATTGTAAATAAGGTTGCTATGAGTCTCCGGCGACTCACCAGCACATAACAACATCATCAGGAGGGGCTAGTCCCTGGAGAAGGACATCATGCTTTGAAAGGTAGAGGGTCAGTGAATCGAGGAAGATGCTCAACAAGACACTGTGGCTACGAAAATGGTTTTGAGCCCAGCAGAGAGGGTGAGGATGAAGCCAAATAGGGCAAAGTTTCTCTTTTCTCATACACAGGGTTGCTACAAGTTACAGCAGACACCAAACAACAAAGAACAAGTCAAATTTCAGTTTGGGATTTGAAATGAAGAATCAAGATTGCAGGTAATGAAAATTAATTTTTAAGAGCTAATCTTTTTGTCACTTTCTCTAGTAATTCATAACTCAAACTCATATACCTAATGCTTTAATAGGGCATCAATATTTTTAAAAAATTCAACATGTATAAAGAAATAAATTACTGCTTACAGAAAATGAAGAATTTAAAATATCTCCCTATTTCTACTTGATTGACAGATGCTCATTAATCTTACCCAAGAACAATTACCATTAATCAAAAAGTATAATATCAGACAGAAGAAAGATTTTTTTGTTGATTGTAAGTAGAAGCTTTGTAAAAATCTTTAAGCAGAATGTATAGCCCCTATGCTTACCAGTTACACAGGACCCTGCTTCATGGTATACATGAGAAAAGTGATCAGATGCAATCTTAATTTAAATTTTCA